AGTTATAAGTTTCTTATGCAATGGATTAGGGGGCACCTAATTTACAATTTCAGGAAAAATATATTTTTTAAAGTAGTTAAGCAAAGGAATGAGTCCTGTGATCTGAAAGATTCTGACTGATAGTCAATAAAACTCTAGGCCAGTTAAATCCATCAAAATAAAGGCTGTGTGAGTAGTCAGAGTCAAACCTCCAGGTTTGACATTGTCCATGGACTCACTTTACATAGCTCATATCAAGTAAAGTAATATTTCTGTAATTGGAAATGCAAGGATAAGGCAATCTTCCTTAAAGCCAGTGTAAGAAAAAACATGAAAATGAAAATAAAATTATTTTCAGGATTCCATGGCAGTTGCCTGTCTACTCCCTCTGGGATTGTCAATACACTGTGCTATAAAGCCTACAGTGCATCATCTCTATGACCCAGAGGATAGACATGCTATAGAATAGGATAAGCCAACCGCTTCAATATCTACTAACCCTAATTGAATGCCACAAATTTAAAACATTATTAATAATTGCCTTAGTAATAGTTATTTTTAAAAGATATTAATTTCAAATAAAGGCAGACTTGGCCACTCAATTATAATTTAGACTTCTTTCATTGGTATGGTTGCTAGGATCATGAATTCTGAAATATTAGAACTGAAGGCCCTTTAGCAATTCTTTTAGCCAGTGGCTCATTACATCTTTTTTCACTAAAATGATTTTTTTTCTCCAAATCTGAGGAGCTAGAGATGGCAGGGGGGAGGACAGAGAGACCCAGGCGAATGGCTATTTTCCCACATCAGTCATATGCACCCAAGTTTTCATCTCTTCTCCTTAACTAGAGTTTGTAACAGCAACAACAAAGATTTCTATAGACAACAAATGTTCACAAATATCCTCTTCCTTCACATATATATTGAGATAAAAAATGTTAAGATTATTGGTTGAACTGGAAACACCAAATGATCCTTTCTGGTTTGATTATCCTTCAGCAAATTTCTCACACTTCTCTTGTATTGGATAAGAATGTTGAAGCTGAAGATGGAATAGAGGCAGAAGATAGTACCTACAGGGTGGGCTAGAAAAGTCATCCCATTGTAGAGATTCTACAAATTATTAAAATGTTCACCAGAATTTAACTTATAATGTTAATTTAATCAGGATATGTCTGTTCCTGGCTCACTGATCCTGTACCCAAAGTAAGAATGTTAACAGATCAAAAACATGATAAAAAGGGTAAGAACTGGAAATGGCAAATACGATGATTTTTCAGCATAAGGTCCCTGAAATTAGAGAATTTATCTGTGCCATGTGAAGGAGTCTATCACAATGCAGACACTTATCAATAAATAAATAATAGCCAATAATTCATTTACGTAGAGTTAGTTACTAATAAATACAAATGTTAAGAGTCTTATTTGAGGGAAAGTATTAAAAATTCTTAGTGCTATTTATCTTAAATATCAGTACTTTTAACAGATGATAAATGAATAGTTGAATTATGAAATCCTCTAGTAGCATTATCAATAAGTACTGGCATGTAGGGAAGAAGACGACTATTTCTTCTGCTTTGAATGGGGTATAATCAAGGCCAGATTGATGTATCTGTACTTCTGAAACTAAAACCCACAGAAATCTTATAAATAATGTTAGGTTCTCTGGAGAGCTGAAACTCTCTTATTTAAATTGACTGTGTCAACTGTATCTCAAGGTAACCAAATACTTATAGTTGACATAGATGTTTCTCTTTATAGAAGGAGGGAATTTTGCAGCTCCCAAATGAACCCAGGGTCTAATCAATCAGTAAAAACAGAAACTAAGTATCATGTGACTCCTAACTGAAGCACACAACATTGTCTATGAAGCATTCTTAGACAAAAACAAAAACAAACCCGAATCCAATCCAATCTACTCCAGCCACTGCTAGATATAAGAATCAGCTTACAGGATCCCTATTTAAACAAACAAGCTATTACATATATTTATAACACAATCAGAAATCTTGAAAGAGAAATCTCATAAATATACACAAGTTAAAGTGATAGAAGGGCATCAAAGACTGGGATTATTAAATTAAAAACTCATTTTTCAACCTCATTATGAAATTATACAAACTTTTTACTGAAACCTGGCAACTAACTTTTCATCTTCCCTGTTAGTATCAGTTTTCTTACAAACTGATCAAAATTATTAATTTGAATATTTAAATAACAGAATTCACTCTCCATGAATACAAACATACATAACATGTATCAGAAAAATTTTAAGGCATCAGAAAGAAAGGGAAGAAGTTGAGTTTAGTGTAAATTCCCTGAGAGGAGAAAGGTCATGGCTTTTTACTTCTATAACCCATCGCCTACAAAGTGCCTGACAGAGAAGGTGCCTAATATTTATTAAAAGAAAAAAAGTCAGAATGGTCTGTTTAAAGAAAAGCCCAGTCTTTTGAAACAATTGTCTTTAAAAAAAAAAAATCTTTTTAAAGACACTCATTCTTCTCTCACTTACTAACAAAAGGTACCTAATAACAAGCAACTGTGATGAAACAAAATACCACAAATCAGTTTAGGAAGTAATACAAATTATAGCATAAGAAAACAGGAGATATATCAAGGGTTTATCGTCAAAAACTTAGGAAAAGGAAAAGAATATTCCCTTTATGATCTTTATAATTCTGGAGGGAAAGCCATAGGTCACAATTTTGTACCTACTGTCTTTTACCAGCACTATCAACACAACTTAAATCAACTACACAAGAAAACAAATTACACAAATCCCATTTTAAGTTGTGTACCACTACACACTTCCCCTTTATTATATAATGTGGTAGTTTTCATCACTAGGTATAAGTGGTCTGGTTTCCTTGATAACTTTAAAGTATGTCAGTTACTACATGCAATCCAATTGAGGAGGATAAAAATTATTAGTTGAGAACCCTTAAGAGAGATTACTAGAGTTTACCAAAGCAGGATTCAAGCTATTTGAGGCTATGGTCCTAGGATACTTAGATTCAAACATGGAAGAAGGCTTAAAATTATTCAGGGAAGGCAACAGGACATGTCACCTAGATAAAACAAGGCTTTACTTCCCTTACATGGGGATCAAGTTCAGCCTGGCTGGTAAGTCACCCCAGTGGTAGCTCCCAATTCCATATGGAGTCAAGTGCTTGTTAAGAATGAGTTCAGATCTTTCCTGTAATGAAACATCAGACCACGGGGCACCATGAGATGTTTTCACTTGTCTTTTCATTGTACTTCTTTAAGTTATTTCATGTATGTATGCTAAGATGTCCACCTTTCCTTCTGGTGTCAGAGTGGAACAAACGTGACACAAGCTCATAAAACTTGAATATATTAAACAGGTCTTCTTTAACCTCCCAAACCAATCCTAAGAACTGTTAAGTAGTCCTCAAAAGCATCAAGTGCTATAAATTCCTCTGAGGGAGAAAATATACAAGTAACTTTAACAGAAAAATTAAAGGGAACAACTATAATATGTGAACAACCTATAGAATAGTTCATTCCAACATCATCAAATTTATATAGGATCACAGAGGATAAATACCATATTTGTTTTCTGTTCACAGAGTGAATTGGTATATAGCTTAACAAAAACAAAATCCTAGGCTCCTGAGAAGCTACAAGAATATAGTAAGAATAACATACTCCTATCTTACAGGTACAAATTACAAAATCTACTTTTGTATCATTAATTTTTATCAGTATAACATTACATAGCCACTTAATGAGACCAAGCTTATTCCATTACACACTATAATGTGAATAATAGAAGGAAATAGTTATTTGATATTATACTATTCTATGTGCATTAAATATTTTACCTCACTTAAAATTCCCAACTGTAATAGGTACTGATGAGGAAACAGACTCAGAGATATCAAATAACTTGCCCAAGTTCACACAACTAGTCTTAAAGATGATTCTGCTTCTAAGTTCTTAATTATACACTATGCATAATGAAACTTCAAATGCATGTTTAAGAAGAGAATGTAGCCTAAAACATTTAAATTGAAAAGAAAATGTGTTCACTGCATTGATGTTAAAAAAAAAAAAGAAAATCCTACATACACTCCAACAAGTTTTACTTCTCTTGCCAAAAAAAAAAAAAAAGCAGCAAATCAATTCCAACTAGTCTATACTTTCATTTATATTTAGAATATGAGCTGGGCATGAGTATGTAATGAATATATATATATATATATATGTGTCTTTCTGTGTGTATAACACCCACATCATTCAAAACCTCCCCCAAATGTGGAGAGTTTGTTCCAATCCTTCTTTATTTTGTCTACTTTAAGAATTCTTTGCAATATGCTTATGTAAATACTGATTTTAGCTGCTGTTCTCATTTCTCAAATCTTTTGCTTTTAAACGGATTGGAAAAGTGACAGACTTAGGCAGATATCTTTGGAACACAAAACTAAGGAGATATAAACAAATACAACCAGATCAAAAACAAAGGCTTCTTCTTTACACCCTTTAACATATCATACTGATGAATTAAAAGACATGAAAGAAAGTAAATATACTGGTGGTGGCTAAGCATGTATATTTGTGTGTACGCACATATACATGCATGTGCAACATGCACATGCATATACTCAGGTTGTGTCTATTTTATTAGTGCACAAAATTAACAGCATTTTACCTTAGTTCACTAAAAGCCTTAGGAGTACAAAATCTAAATTAAGGAAGCTTCTGAAGTTAGAGTAATGTTGGGGCATGGGAAAGTATTTAGGAAAACAGTTCCAGGTTGTTAAACTTAATAGGTAAGTGCCTTCAGTTTTCTTATACCAGAATTCACATTATACTTCAATTGCATTAATAGGTCGTTGACTCTGCAGGTGATTTGCCCCTGTCCACATTCCAAAGAGATGCTGAAGAGGATTAAGGATAGAGTCAAAAAGTCACCCTTCAACTTACCTGACACTGACCCATCTTTACAGACATAAGTAAAATCTATTATGACATCACAGATCACAAAGCACAGTGCAAACAATATGTTGGCAAGAACTAATATAAGTTGTGAAAACATCATTTCCACTTAAAAGTGTGAAACTCACCAATGTTAAAGTTAATACCTGAAATTAAGTATTACATGTGATACTGCTGGAATGAAAGTTGAAATAGAAGATACTTCTGATGAAGTCTTGGCAACAATATCAATGGATTTTGTACTTTGATAACATAACAATCATATTATTGGAAACACATTCTAAGTAGGAAATTTTTGTCATAGTTGAGAGCTGAACATACATCTGGTACGTATCTTCTCTGTGTAAGCTAATAATATGACAGATTCTTATATAAACAAAGTCAATGAGCAATTTTACCAAAATAACAAAAAACATTTATATTTATCCAGTGTTGTGCAAAAGTATTTTAGATGCATAATTAAAGACTTTTTACTCATAAGAATGTAGTACTAGAGAATAAAAAAATAGTTCTTGGAATTAGAGAGGAAAAAAAGTGACCAAAACGTAATGAAATGTCAGTGTTTCTATAAATGACTTTCTACTTTCAGAGTGATCATACTGACAATAAAAAAATACTAAAACGTTCAGTCTAGAAGTGATCAAAGGCAAAGGTAGTGGCTCTGGCCTTGTTTTTGCTGAAGAAAGCAAAGAGGGAGAAGTTAGCTATTAGATAGAGAATAGACATCAGTAGTCTCCAGATTTTACTTCCAGCATTTCAACCCACATCCAGCCTGGTGTGAAAAGATGGCAGATGGGATTACGTCTGTTATTTCGACTGCTAAAGCAGGATATTGAATGCATCCTGCTTGTTTCTATCAGCATGAATATTCAGCCACAATAAGTAGAAGCAAGGATAAATGTGCTAACTGTACTAAGCAGGTACCAAATAACCTTTATCCTTTTTCTCCTAATACTATAGATTTAAGACAAAATGCCACTTCTACCAAGTTTGGAAATGAAATGATGCTGGTTTTTACACATTTAATGTAAATGTAATGAGAGAAATATGAGGGCAGGTGAAAACCAGAGTAATGAGCATATTGAGGGGGAAAAGTTTAGAAGCAATTAAACAATCAGTAATTATTTTCCACTTTATTTTATTTTCATGATTTCATTATTTTCTCAGAAAATGCAAAGGAGGCAAGCATTACAGTATCAGTATTCATCACTCAAAACACAAATCAGGTTCCTTTAAATATCATGGTAAACTTCTACAATGGCATGCTATTCTATTGTGTAAATAATGCTTATGTGTAATTCTTTTCATTTTTATCTGAAAAGGATTATTAAATCCAAAAAGGGTAATTTGCTATAAATATAATGCAGTGACAATCTGTGTCTGTAAACAAATTTTTAATTCATAATTACCACAATATTGTGACAATCCCCAAAGTATGTCACCCCTAGACCTACCTCTCCCAAAGAACAGAGAATAAGGTCCAGAAATAAAATAATTACACTTACATTTTCTAAAATGAAGAGTTCAATCATTGTTAAAAGAAAACCTAAAGGCCACCTACCCAGACTGTAAGTGAGGGAGAACATCCATTAAGACGCTATCTCTCATTCAAAGAAAATGGCAATTCATTGTATATGTAGGGAAGTTCTTCAAGAAATCTTGAAATTTAATAAATATCAATGTATAATCTGAATTCCACCCTCCACCATGATACTTCTCACTAAAAAAGCAATTATGTAGAGAAAGTGGCAGAAACCAATCAGGTTTCCCTATCTCCTTACACTGCCAGGTAAGGAGCAAATGTCATGGGTCCTGAGAAACAGGTAAACATCTCAGACTGGCCTGTGATATCTAGGGCCCTGCAGTTTATATCTTTTAAAAATAAAACAATTCTTAATAAAGGATGGAAATCAGTTTGCTCTTTAGGACTGAGAGGAAATTTCTTAGATTTTTTTCACATCCCAATGAGCACTCATTATAGAAGTAAATCAATGCCAATGAAAGGCACATATGTGGAAATTGAGAGACTTACGAAGTAGCCTGTTCCCAAGCTGGAAGGAGCTGAACTCTGCAATAAAGCATAAAGACAAAGTGGAAAATCAGCAATGGTTTTTAACACATTCCAATCCGCACAGCTCATTACCAGCCCTTTGCAGGCTTTTCATCACTACATCGCATCACCGGTCTATGCTGCCCCTTGTCATCTGCTACTGATACAAACATCGTGTTGCTTAATTTTCCCCTTTACATCTCTCAACAACTCAGAGATGCTAACGTGCTATTTACTGAATTCCAAGCTTCTGCAGTGGACGTAATTGCCAATTTATTTGACAGGCAGCTGGGTAATGAATTAATGATGGCATTTCGCCCCGTACTGAGACTAAACAGACACGCATCAGCTTGCCTCCCTGACTTGCTGACATTCAATGCCCTGGTCTCAGCTACTCAGTTTTGTGGCCACAAAGGGGCAGGCAAGAGGAAAAAGCCCAGACTAACTTGAAAATAAAAAGCCCAGTGGGCTTGGATGACTTTTCCAGTGTATGACCTACTTGCCAGTTTATTCCCCAAAGGCACCAGTTCGTACACACACAGAGTTTTTCAAAAATGAGACATTTTGTAAACGTAATTAGCAGACTAAAATGCAAAGAATGTGTGAGCAAAGGGAAGCAATGAAAAGCACCATTTTTCTGAAGGGTTTAGTCACAAGAGTTATTAATTCAGGCTGCCATAGTTCTGACACATAGGGAACTTAAAAACAATAATTCTGAAAGGAATGTAAGGCATCACTTTAGGAAAAGAAGCCAAAAAGAGAACATGCGTTTTATACTTGTCTGAGATTCTTTTTTCTGTTTCCTTTTCCCCCTAAACCCTCTTCTTATAAATTCTTTAATTTTTAGCATCCTCTTTGTGATTAAAAGAGTACCCAAATAAGCTTGAAATGAAGATAAAGCTAACGCTGAGTCAGTCTGCAAGTCTCAGCTAAGCATCCTTGCACCAGCCAAGCCTTTCCCCTAATGAGTTTGTGTTGGTTGTCACACTTTCCCTAGAGCACACTGACCACTGCCCTGATGCAAATAGTTAGTCTATTCACTTCTAGCTCTTCCATCTACATGTCCTGCTCCATACTCTGAAAACTACAGGTAGTATGGATAATCTGGTCCATGCATCATTGATTCCTCGGAGTTTATGTGACTCTTCTTGACTCTAAACTCTTTGAGAAGGAAATATGGTACTGTAACTGTTACATAGCTACATCAAACAAATTCCCCAGGCAGAACTTCTTCATTTTAGTGTTTCAGACAAGCTCAGAGGTCTAAGGCACCATAGATGTGTGAACACACTGGATTCAGTTTTTAAAAAATCTCCTGCACTCTTAATCCCATAAATGGTACAGAGGGAGATCCATAGTAGTTATGGAGACAGCTTCTCATACCAGTGATTGGCCATGTGATAGATAGCATCACAGCCCTCCATGGAGCAGAAGGCAAAAGCCAAGTTAGTCTCTAGCAACCTGGACTCAGCCCCTGGGAAGTAAATTCATTTTAGGATGAATTACTCAGAGAGACTGTGGGATCTGTTCATTTCATCCCCCTCCCCCTTTCTACAAATGTATTTTATCCCAGAAGGAGAGGTACACTTCCAAACCTACTTCCTCACCCCCTACATATAGATCATCTTATTGTATACCAAACAAAATTACATCCTTCAGGTCTCAGAAAGCTCTGTTATGCTCATTTTGCATATATATTGTACATTACTCAGGGAGCTGGGTGGAGAAGAGGGCTTTGTTGTGCATATTTGTTCTGGCTATTGTTTATGCAGGTCTGACTGAATGAGGGAACAGTGGGTATCATTTCAATTTCTGATGTCAACATCAAATTACTTATTTAATTTCATGCCTGGTGAAGCATTGTATAGCTACACGCAGAATCATCTCACTTCATTTGTTATGCTGTGTTTTTGTGGCGATTGGCTTGCCTTCCAACTGACAGCTTTAATTACGACATGAATTTGATTGCACTGCCGAGGAATTAACATAATGCAACAAAGCATTTAAGCACCCTGCCTTATAACCACCACCCCCAAACACACACACACGAGCACACACAAACACAGACACATGAGGGAACACAGACACTGGATCCTCTTATACGTTAAAGGTCTACTGGAATTCGTTTCAGCATTTGCTAGAAAGCAGACAATCTCAGCTCAGAGGCTTTTCATATTTGCCAACCCACAGTATTCACCATTTTTTTTTCCAAGAGAAAAAGATGTGTAGCATTAAGTTATGATTTCTGGACTTGGCAAAAAACTGTATAGAAAAACCCTCTTCTAATTTACTTTGCCAAATGTCCATGGCATTGACATTTGCTTCCCCCTTACTCCCTCTCTACCACATTTTTCTTGACTACTTGCCAGCTTCCTTCAATCAAAGCTGGAGAATTTGAACAGAAGAGATTCAAATATATAAAGAAGGTTTCTCCTTGTCTGATCCTATAATCCAAGATTCTGACTATGGCCTTGTATTCAGTGGGACACAACCTCTGGTCACAAACAGGACACCCACCATCATAGTATAGGTAACAGTTGTTACTAGCAGCAATGAGAATTTGGTTGCTGCTCCTGAAAATTATCCCTGAGGCCTTGCTACTCAAAAGGCCCAAGAAAGAGTCTCTGTCATGTGTGTCTAATCTAACACTGTATCTAAATATAGATGCAATATCTGATAACTTGAATAATTTTCCAAGTCAGAAATTACACGAACACCTTCAAACCACAGATAAAACCAGATTATGCTAAGAAAATAGAATAAATGATTAGAAACATCTTTTACATTGTTAAGTAAGTTATTCATTCATAGATTGTGTACTTAAGGATTGCTTTCTCATTTTATAAAAGACACAGTCACCAAGAGGTAAAGGCATGCCCTAAACTATTGAACAACTTAACAGAACCCTTCTTCAGTGATCCAGTTGATCTTAACTTTCTGTATTTCCTCAATTTTTAATGAGAAGAAGGGTTCAGGTTTTCTTACTTGGAGACCTCAGTTAAACTGTGTCCAAACTATATAGAGAAAGTGATCACAGAATCTAGAAAAAGCTGTGAGTCAAACTGGAACTTGAAAAATTCACATTTTTTTAAAGGAAGAATAAAAAGTTCCCTTGGTGTCAAAATAGCTAAATACTTCCACTGAATAATGAAAAGGGCTTAATTCTTATTTCTTCAAGTGGTAGAGTTGCTAATTCATTCATATTTTCAATGCATTAGGTAGAAATGAGAGGTATTAAGAGGCTGAGAAAGTAGGGTAGGAGAACATTTTTAGTGGTTTGCATGAGAAGATAAGAATATGAGGAAATGCCAGCCAGCTGGCTATCTGAGATGCAATTTCCAGGCTCATTATAAGCCATCTCCTATGTAACATGGTCTTTTCATTCTGCAGCCCCCTCCCCCAGATTTGACCACTGCTCTAGCAATCTCTGCAAATTACTCACCTTGATGTCATTATGTTGTAAAGAAGAGCTTTCTTAGAAACACTCTGCTTCAATCTCTATGCTACCATGGGCTACAGGAACAGTAATGGGATATATGATTGAAAGACATTTTCCAGGAGGGAGAATGTTGCTGCTGACATTCAAGTCTACAAGTACATATTCATTAAACACTCATTCTCCTCTTTCTCACTGCCCCCCGCCTGCCTTTCTTGCCTTCTCTGTCACTAAGCTATCACTGAAGCTACTTATTAAACACATGAAGCTAACATTTCTGTTTTAACAGCTTACCTACAACAAGGGATTTCAAAATTGATTATCTATTTTAGATAGATATGCTCCATTCATTACAGATCCACACAGGGAGGCCATGGTTACTATTACAGCTTTCCGAATGCAGAACAAATGTATAATCTGCCCCTTGGTGAGGATGTGTTTTGACCTCAAGGATAATTTAAATTAAGTATGTTAAAATTTCTCCTAATCACTAATTGTGGTTGACATTATTGCCTACCCACCTTCATATTATGATTTTCTCTCTTGGGACTCTTGGGAGTTAAAGGGAAAGAGGAATCACATGAAGAACATGAAGAAATAAGGTTCTTGCAAAGGTTACAAAACAAGCTCATCCACAGATTTCCCTGTGGTGTTTTAAAAAACAGTAACAATGAAAAGAATCTGAAATTTTAATCCAAAAAAAAAATACCTTGGAGATAAGATTAGTTATAGCTGACAAAGAGATACAAAATATATTTGAATGGGGAAACAAGCTTGTAGTTAATGGAAAAAGATCAAGTAAAAATGGAGCAACAACTTGATAAAAATATTAGATGTGGAAATGCTCAGTCGCTTCCAACATCAGCTAACCCTCTGTTCTGCTTAAGTTATCACCAATACTCATCTATACCCAACAGCCTCCTGGCTTCTCCTGATTTTACTCTTGCTCTCACCTTCACCTGAAGTTCTTCATGTAAAAGGCAAACTAAATATTTTAAAATAAAAATTATAATAGTTATTCTTTTAACACGTTCCAGAGGCTTTTTAATAATAATTTCTAGTGGGATGAACAATGTCCCCCAATATTTATGTTCACCTGGAATCTCAGAATGTGACTGTGATGGTTACTTTTGTATATCAACTTGAATGGGCCATGGAGGTGCCCATATATTTGTCAAACATTATTCTGGGTGTTTCTGTGAGGGTGTTTTTAGGTGAGTTCAACATTTAAATCAACAGACTAAGTAAAGCAGATTTCCCTCCCTAATGTGAGTAGATCTCATCTAATCAGTTGAAGGCCTGAATAGAACAAAAGGCAGATTCTCAGATAAGAGGAAATTTCTCCTGGCTGCCTTTGAGCTGGGACATCGATTTTTTTCTTGCCTTCGGACTCGATGGAAACACAGGTTCTTCCTGGGTGTCAAACCTGCCAGTTCAGAATGGAACTACACTATTGGCTTTCTTGGGTCTCCCCTGGCTTTCCAACTGTAGATCTTGGAATTTGTCAGCCTCCATAACTGTGTGAGCCAATTACTTACAATAAGTCTCTTTCTATTGGTTCTGTTCTGTTGTTTGGTTGTGTCTCTGGAGAACCCTGACTAATATAGCGACCTTATTTGGATATAGGGTCTTTGCAGCTACAATGAAGCTGAAGTAAAATGGGATTACGGTGGGCCCTAAATCCAATGACTGCTGTTCTTATAAGACAAGGAAGGGACACACAGAGCTACAGATATAAGGGCATGTGAAAACTGAAGCAAAGATTGGAAGGATGCAGATACAAACCAAGAACTCTGAGGATTACAACAAGGACCCACCAGAAGCTAGAAAAGGAAGGATTCTTCCATAGAATCCTTCTCCAGAGAGAATATAGCTCTACAGACACCTTGATGTTGGACTTCTAGCCTCCAGAACTATGAAATAAATTTCTGTTGTTTCAAGCCATCCAGTTTGTGGGTCATTTGTTACAGCAACCTAGGAAACTAATAAAATACCAGCCTCCATTCCAAGAGCTAGAAGTTACATGTTCAGCCACTGTGCTTGCTAACATTATGCTCTAGACACACCAGCCTTTTTTCTTTCCTTCAAAAATGAAATGCTTGCCCCTGAATGAGGGTCTCTGAGCTTCTTGTTCTTGTTACCCAGAAAGTTCTTCCCACAGTTCTTTATCAGGCTACCTCCTTTTCTTTATTTAGGCCTCAGTTGTATGTCACCTACACAGAAAGGCCTTATCCAATCACCTTAGTTCAAGTAGCAACACACACATTTGCACCCTAATACTGTTTTGTTTACTTCATAAAATTTATTGTATAAGAAATAGTTGTTTCTTCATAGGTTTATTGTTTGTCTCCCCCACTAGAATGGAAACTTCATGAGGACAGAGACTTCATCTTGTTCACTGCCCAACATCAAGTACCCAGAACTATACCTGGTGCATAAAAGGAATTTGATAAATATTTCTGGACAACTGAAACACTAACATATCCAGGAGAACCCATAAATATACAGGGCAAATAGAAAAAGGTATAAATAAAACATTATGGAAAAAGAAAATCTGTCACAGATAAAAAGAGAGAAAAGGAGAAATAAAATATCACAAAACTTTCTCAGGTCTGGATTGTATTTTCTAATCTAATTACAATGTGAGAAGCTCATTCATGGTTGTGGCTCATGTCTATTTCCTCCTTAACAGTAGCTAATGAAACCTGGCATCAAGTAAAATCTCAATAAAAGTTTGAAGGGAGGGAAGGAAGAAGGAAGGATAGAACAGATGCTGGTATGGATAGATAAATAGTGGCACTGTGGGATGGATAAAACAATAAAAACCCACAAACCTGGAAAGATTTAGGGTAGCAGAAGGGGTATCTCGAAAAGCAGAAGAAGAAATGTCTCAACTGTGATCATACTGAATGAACTAAATAGTTACAAAACAGTAAGATTAGAGAACTGTTTAGCATAAGACTGATTAGAATTCAATCCTTTCACTGTATTCTGAGATGTTTCAATTCCTTAAAAGCCTTGAACACTTAAAAGGTGCTAGATATTTTTAAGTTATCTCTTATCTAAAAACTTGACCTAAAATTCTCTCAGAGAGAAATTAGGGTCATATACTCATTTAAATAAAGCATTAGAAGAATTTACTTCCATATAGTATTGGGAAGAATTTGCTAGCAAGAAGGGGCACTGAGGCTGGCAGAAGGAAAAGAATAAGAAAGAACAAAGAAAAGGATAGAAAAGAATAATCAAAAGTAGGAAGATTTGAACGTGCATATTATTTAAGGAAAAAAAACAGTGGTTCAGAGGGACTGAGCATAAGATACAAAGACAGGAAAGCAGAGAAGAGATGAAGGATGGAGAGTTAGCTTCCTACTTCCTTATGGAGGGCCCTGCAGATCATCCTCAGAAGTGTGCACTTCCTCCTCAAGGCATACCCCAAAAAAAAAAAAAACTTTAAATAAGAAAGATTAAATATTAGCTCTGACTCTTGGAAAAACAACTCTAGAAGCATTATAGAGCATACAGCAAAGGAAATATAGACAGTGGAGATGAAATCATTGAGAGAAGACAGGCATCATTTGTGTAAGAAAGTGTGAGGACATCTGAGACAGCTGTAGTGTCAATGACAGGATAAACTACTCAAACATCCCTTCAGAAATAAAATCAGTAGAAAAATGAGAGTGACTATGTTATACAAAGTAAGTAAGACAAAGGAAAGAACAGAGCTTGAATCTGAGGATACTAGCTCTGGGATCCAATACTGGGACAAGGAAATATGGACAGTTGAAGTTTGAGAAAAATAGTTAGGAGGCATAGAATGAGGAAGATTTTATTAGGGAGGGAGAGTTGAGTTTATCATGATTGAGATAGGTTTTGTCAGGTTGACAATTAGTGACAAAGGAATTCAAATTAAAAAGGATAGAGAAGGTTCCTAAGGGAAACTCTAAAAGGCTAATGCAAAAGAGAAGAGCATAAATATTTTTGAGCACACAGGAAGTGCCAAGAACTGTGCTAAGTGATTCAAATGCACAGAATCATGTAATCTTTAAAATATAGGGAAAATTATCCCAATTTAAGACCAAAGCTTAGAAAGATCAAGTTCTTTGCCCAAGGTCACAAATAATAAGCAGCAAATCTGCTATTAAACTTGGTCTGTTTATAATGAATCATTATAAACAGTCTGTTTATAATGAATCATCATTTCATAATTTGAGGCTTTTATTTCCTAAAGTTTTAAAGTTTTGCCCATAAGTTTTGACAAATTCCTCAATTACAAAATTCTGTAATATTAGAAGCAATATTTTCCCCCTGAACAAGTCATCATGAATATTTAAATATTCAATTATTCTGCTTAACTTTTTCCTTAGTGACTAATCTAACCAGGTTGTTATCTCCCCTTGATGAGGACAATCTGAGAGTCCTTGTAGTCAATCATCCCCTCTGGGTAATATGGTTTGAGAATACTGAATTTAGAAAAGCCCAGCATATTTGGTTTTTTAAGCTTTACTCATGAACCGAATACTCCAGCTACACTGGAATTCTTTATTCTTATTCTTTTTGCCTATCCAATTGATAAAAACAAAGCTAGGATAATATATAGTATCCTGATTAGCCTCACTTGGGAATAAATCTCAACTGCTAAAACTTCTAAAAATATAATTAAAGTGCGTGGAAGGCTGATAGAAATTTTTATCTCTGTTGAGAAACCAGTAGTGGACATGATGGACTAACTGACTAAATATACTCTCCCACCTGAAGCAACTTAAAAACTGCACAGATTGTGTGAAACAAGAGTTTTTAGAAATTGGGTAATAGTGCAATACGATAATACTTGAGAGAAAAGAAACAAATGAGATGACCCTTACAATTTTCCCAGCTTATGGCCTGGAGAGTTGTCATGCCACATGCCTTGAGGGGTAGGAGGTGACCCAGGTGGAACCTAGTAGTATCCCTGAGTTGTGAAGACAGGGCTGAGAATCAGGGGATGTCAAGGCAGCTGGAATTGGATAGCAGAGCATGAAGAGGAGAGTTTCACAGAAAGAGGAGAATCATGAAATCTGCAGAAGGTTCCCTTCTAGTCCTCACCTGAGTGCTCATAAGCACCTCTGTGGGAGAAAAATACCCAAGGCAAGAAAAACAACCACTGGAAAGGAGGAGTAGAACAATCCCCAGAGCTCATACAGGGCAGGGAATAGTTTGTATTCCAACCAGACTCAGTAGAAAGCCCTGGCAATATATCAGGCATCAGGCAGAGTACTCAGTACTGGGGAAAACTATCTTTAATCTAATAGTTGTTCTGGTTCTGCTTAAGAAAGTGCAAAAGCAAACCTCAAGAAAGAAACTACTTCAAAGGAACAAAATTCCATTTAAGAATAAAGAATATTTATAGAAATCAGAAATATCTAGGGCCCCACAAAAAAATTTATAATCTCTGGCATCCAAAAAGAAATTCCCAGACATTCAAAGAAGCAAAAAAACATAACCCATGATGAGGAGGAAAAGCAACCAACAGAAACAGACCCAGAAATGACTCAGGTAACACAATTAGTAGATAAGGACACTAAAAATTATAACTGTTTTCCATATGTTCAATAAAGTAAGTGAAAGCATAATCGTGATAAGTTTTGACATGGGAGTTTGGTTTTTTGGGGGGTTTGTTGTTGTTTATTGTTTTGTTTTTTAAGAGACAAATTTTCACTTTGTCATCTAGGCTGGAGTGCAGTGGTGCCATCACAGCTCATTGCAGCCTCAAACTCCTGGGCTCAAGTAATCCTCCAGCCTCAGCCTCCCAAGTAGCTGGGACTACATGTGTGTGCTACTATGGCCAGCTAATTTTTTTTGAATATGGAAAGTTATTTTCAAAAACAAAACCAAACACCAGTAGAGTCTTTGACTCAATCTTCTCACTCTCTGACAGTCATTAATTACTGATTCTCTTTCAAGCAAAAATGAGGGTATCTTTAGTTTTTAAAATATTGTGTGAGTAGGTGTCGTCCTGGTATAAAAAATAATTGTTTTGTGGGTTGACTAATCAAATACTTTCATCTCAGCAGATTTTAGATTGCCATTAGGACTTTATATAAGACTCTGAAACCTCAGACCTACACATACGCAGGAAAAAAGTGTCTGGAAGTCTGGAACATGTCACTAAATGCCAATTTTCCTTTGGTCATTTCTCTTTCTTTTCTTTTTAATAATGTTACTGCAAAATGTGAGAATTTTAATAGTTAATGAACAACACAAAATCAAAGTATTTCACTGACTGGCTTGACATAAGACTGACACGATTCTGATAGCCCTAAAGTTGTTTTTTACATTTTTAATTGCAGTAAAATGTGTAAGACACAAAACTTTCCATTTTAACCATTATTTTAAGTGTGCCAATTCAGTAACATTCACTGTAATCACAATGTTCAGCAACTGCTATAACTTATCTAGTTCTAAAATGATTTTATCACTCCAAAAAATAAACTATAACCATTATATATCCCTCCCACTCCCCTCATCCCAATCCCTGATAATTTCTATTCTACTTTTCTCTATGAATTTGCCTATTCTACACAACCTCATATAAGTGGAATCATACAATATTTGTCATTTTATGTCTTGCTTCTTTTTTAGCATGTTTTTAAGCTTCCTCCACATTATAGTATGTATCAGAATGCCAATCCTTTTTATGACCGAATATATTCCATTGTGTGTATATATGGGTCAAATTTAGATCTCATTTGTGGATGAATACATGGATTGTTTCTACCTTTTGGCTACTGTAAATAATATTGTAATGAACAACTGTTTTATAAGTATGTGAATTTCTATTTTTCATCCTTTTGGGTATATACCTAAAAGTGGAATTGCTTTGTTATATGATAATTACATGTATAGCTTTTTGAAGATGGCCAAGCTGTTTTCTACAGTGGCTGCATCATTTTACATTCCCACCAGCACTGTATGAATGTTCCAGCTTCTCCACATCCTCTCCAACACTTGTTATTTTTCTTTCTTTTTAAAACAATTTTAGCTATCCTACCAGGTGTAAAGTAGTATCTTGATACAGTTTTGATGTGCATTTCTCTAAAGGCTAAGAATTTTACCATCTTTTCATTTTATTGGTTCCTTTATCTCTTCTTTGCAGAAATGTCTATTACAGTTCTTTGCCAATTTTGAATTAGGTTCTTCTTTGTTATTGAGTTTTAGAAATTCTTTACATATTCTGGATATTAAACACGTATCACTTACATGATTGGCACACATTTTCTCCCATTGTCTATTGGGAGAAAGGTTGTCTACTGACTTTCTTCATGACATCCTTTATGCAAAAAACCTTTTAATTTTGATGAAGTCCAGTTTACCTATTAATATTTTCTCTACTGTTGTGCATATTTTGGGTGTCATATCTAAGAATCCACTGCCAAATCCGAGGTCATAAAGATTTACCTGTACATTTTTTTCTAAGAGTTTCATGGTTTTAGCACTTATATTTACTTGGGTCACTGATCCACTTTGGGTTTATTTTTATACATGGTATGATCTAGGGCCCAAATTCATTCTTTTTCATGTGCCGATCCAGTTGTCCCAGCACTATTTATTGAAGAAAAAATTCTTTCCACATTTCATAGACTTGGCAATCTTGTCAAAAATAATTTGGGTATATGAATTTGTTTCTAGACTCTCAATTCTACTACATTGATCTATTATGTTCCATGTCATGCCAATCCCATGCTGCTTTTATTACCATAGCTTTGCAGTAATTTTTAAATTGGTAAGTATAAGTCCTCTAACTTTGTTATTTTTCAAGATTGTGTTGGTTATTATGGCCCTCATTGCCATTTCATACCTACCTGAAGATCTGCTTTTCCATTTTTGCAAAAAATGTTGGAATTTTGATAGAAATTGCAATGAATCTACAAATAGCTTAGGGCAGTATAGATATTTTAACAATATTCAGTCTTTCTATTCATAAATATGGAATGTCTTTTGTCTTCTTCTTCTTTTTTTTTTTTTTAGAGACAGGGTCTTGCTCTGTTGCCTGGGCTAGAGTGCAGTGGCATCATCATAGTAGCCTCAAATTCCTTGGCTCAAGTAATCCTCCTGCCTCAGCCTCCTGAGTAGCTGGGACTACAGACATGTGCCACCACACCTGGTTAATTTTTTGTAGAGATAGGGTCCTGGAGTATGTTGCTCATGCTGGCCAATTTCTTTTGGTCTAATGGAAAGTGAACCAGTCAAAAGATATAATCACTGTACTCTTGTTCCCTCAAGCTATGTGGCTTTCATTTCTCCACTCTATGAAGAAAATATGAATAATTTCCAGGGTCAATGAGATCTCATTTTAAGAGCATAAAAACATCTCAGAAGAACAGCTATTTAAGCTTGAAATATTGTGGTTAACAACTCAGGTAAGAAAAGTTGTTATAGTTTTATGATAATACAGCTCTATCACAAAAATAATGAAACACATGAATACAAAATGAAACATATTCTTATATATAGAAACACTCATACCCACAGAAAAAGACTGAGCTAGTACTCTTTATTTATATAACTGATTGATATCATACCATATTCAAAGGGGAGGAAATTATCTATAACTAAGATATTAAGAATACTATAGAAATAATAATACTTTGTTTATTCCACTTATTCAATATCCCATATATCAACTCTCATCCACAACCTCACAAACTTTCCTGAGGTATGTAGGAAGGTGGTTGTATCTTGAGGTTGTCTTCTTCGGCTGACGAAGAAGTGTATTTGATATTATTATTGAGAATGGCCAAGTGTGCTGCAGTATCTCTAATGTTTTATGCTAGTGGACACCTCTTAGTAAAAAATTTTTTGAGTACACACCCCTAAGATTTATGTGTTTAAAAATTATAGACATCAACTATTCTCTGCTCATTAAATTGAATACTAGTAAAGCTTAATTTTTTAGAAGAAAATTAAGTAATATTTTCTTTTTGTAAGTCAGTAGATCATCTTACACATTAAAAAGAAGACCACTGCTTTAGAGTACAGTATAAAAAAAAGAAGAAAAGAGGTGAAGGATTTTGTTCCTCATTATATATCCTAACTCTGCTTCTTCTTCTTAATACTCAGAGATTCTAAACTGTTGTCTCTTTCTTTCATGGTATTCTCTCACTTAATGTGTTAATGTTGCTTTGTTGGTATCAATAATAATTTTTTTCTCTACTTGATCCATTTTATAAGAGAGTTTCCAAGTGTTGCTCTTGGGGCAAAGATGGGTCAAAAATGCTGATATAAGATATGTGACAGGGAAAGATAAGAGGCTCCAAAGGGGGTAGGTGGTTCTCAGAAATAGCAGAGGGGAACCTGCCCTGTTGGTGGGGAGGGGGCTATAGGACAATTAGAACCAGGTCTAGAGGGCTGACAGACACCTAAGTATGGTATATTCTCCTAAGGTTTTTCCTCCCAGAAATTCATAAGGAAATTCAATTCCTTCTCTTGCTAAGTAAGTGGCTAGTGATCACTTCTAATAGGAATAAAATGACAGACAGAAAAGGACTGTTACCAATTTCCTAGGTGAAGAAATTACAAAAACCCCATTGCTAAATGAAATCATTTCCTGGTTATAGTACTACCTGTGTATTTCTTTCATTTTTAACACTGATGATAAAAGTATAATCCTCTCTCTTTGCAATTGATTGTTTCTAAGACAACAAATACTCCCATCTACCTTATAATTTGTTAAAATACATTTTTGGTCACACTACATTTAGAATGACATCATAACTGCAAAGTTCAAACATGTGTACACAAAGAATGTGTGAACTGCAATGCTTAGGTATGCAAAGTGATCTAAAGGGAGGGGAGAGTTATGTAATAGAGACCTGAATCAATCCTGTGTGGTTTGGGTTGATTTTTTTTTTTTTTTAACTTACATCACTGAGCCTTTCCCGAGAGCTGCTCCGATGGAACCCCTTGGATTCTCCACTGGCGCTTTCACTGTCACTGTCCCTGCAGCTGTTCTGCCCTGGCTTGAGCTAAAGGCAAAAGAAAAGAGCAAAAAGGAAAAAGTCAATGGTCTGTTTCTTAGCTCCTGTTTTTTGAGCCTTGTCAAGAGTGAACAATTTAAGGTCCATTCTTCTTGGTTTTTGAATACTGCCAGGTAGGCTGCCATAGAAAAACACTGAGGATAGAATAAGCAAAATATTCACTGTGAAATGTCAATGTAGAGAAACGAATGAGCAAGACTTAAACATTTACCTCAAAAGCCTAACTAAGGACCATGAATTGGAAATTAGTCTTTCCTCGGGTTTTTTCTTCTGTTCCACTGTTATTTTTTTCAATAAAGAAAAGACCAAAAACATTGAATAGTCTAAAGCCAGATTACATTAAACATGATGTCTCACCTTATTTCCTCTGTCGGGGAGGGGAGGGGAGAGGAGGAGAGAGAGGAGAGAGGAGAGAGGAGAGGAAAGACAAACAACAAAACAGAGCAAAAAAGCCAAGGTTTTCTTCTCTGGGAAAACTGATTAGATGCTTTGATGTTATCCTTCAACCACTGGGAAGACACTTAATGATCTTGTTGAGACAACATTCTGGAGGTTGCCTTGCTAGATATTTAAAAGTAATGATTAAGAACTACGATTAAGTAAGTTAAATCAGCATTCATTCAACAAATACGTATTAAGTACTACATCTGGTTTGGAACTAAGTGATATAGTGATATACTGATAAACCAAAAAAAAAAGTCTCTGATCTTATTAGGTTTACATTCTAGTGGTTGCTATACATTTATCCAGCTCTAATTTTCCATTAAGAAATGAACAACACACAAAATTGAAAAACATCAGTCTATATTAGAATATAAGCCATATATATATATATATATATATATATGGATACATACACATACACATACCCACACCCCATTTTCAGAGACACTAAGCAATGTAATGCTGAAAGTTACAAGATACAGTCTCTTTACAGTGTTCTCAGTATAGCAAGATAAATATAACGACACAAGAAAATGGATACTAAATGAAACCAAAAAAGTAGCCAGTGATGTGCAGAGAAGTGATTTTTGAAGGCTTGGATTTTAAAAGTAGATTGTGCTCATATAGTTGAAAGGACAAGGCAAGACACTCCTGATGGAAGAAAGGCTGAAAGCAAAGACAGAAAAAGAAACATGCCAGGAAATTATTAAGAGTTGTCTCATATGAGAAACAGAGTTCCTTTTGGAAGAAAATATGAAGAAACATAAGAGAGTGGTACATGGATGAGAACCTGGAAAGTGTCAAGCAAAATACATGCTTCATTTTTCTAGGCAGGAGGGAACTTAAAGAGCAGAACAGGCAATAGGTAGCAAACTTTTGCCTGCAGGTTTTCAAGTGTCCTTGGAGCAAATGGGCAGATAGAACCAAGGTGAATGGATATGAGTCTGAATTAACATTCCTTGTACCTTTAAAGGGACTCTCTTTAAAGACTACAGTACAGATCCCACTTTTGGTCATTCCATTCACAGTCAGCTTCCCTCAAATCCCCAAAATAGAGCATTCTTTCTTGCTTTCAACCTTTCTTCAAATCTACTTTTATCACTTTCTTCTAGAATCCCTTTCTCTAGGAAGTCTTCTGTAATGGACCACAGAAAATTGATGCTAATTTTACTTTGTATCCTCCCGAGCCCTTAAGTACTTAATTTTCCTCCTAAATTAATGCTAAACCTACTCTAAGTTAATATAGATAGGTATGGAATAAAAATTCATAATGTTGTCATTCTCTTCAAGTTTTAACTTTTATAATGATTTACAAAAGGGAGATTTAATCTAAAGTGAACATCACCTTCTCTCCATTTCCTGAGCATTCCTTGTCCATTCCTGCTCTGTACTTTTTCACACCAGATTCTCTCTGTCTGGAATGTTCGCCCTCACCTTCTCTATGCTTCTGAGGTCAAGATTTTATTAAAGCTCAGATCTTATCTCTTCTACTATGGTCTTTGAAGAGCTCTTTCTTTCTACATTTACTTTTTTAAATATGCCTTTAATTCAACTATGGTGGCTCACGCCTATAATCCTAGCACTTTAGGAAGCTGAGGCAGGAGGACCACTTGAGACCAGGAGTTCAAGACCAGCCTGGGCAAGAGTGCCAGCCCATCTCTATAAAAACAGAAAAATTAGCCAGGTGTGGTGAGGAGTACCGCTAGTCCCAATCACCTGGGAGTTTGAGGCAGGAGTATGGCTTGAGCCCAGGAGTTTGAGGTTGTAGTGAACTATGAGCATACCACTACTTTCTAGCCTGGGCAATAGAGAAAGATCCTATTTTTTTTTTTTTTAATGCTTTCAAAGTTTAGCTAACATTTAATTCTTCATGCTTTTGATAATTCTTCATGCTATATTTTTCTAGTTCAAAAAAGCCTATTGTTGCAATATAGTTATACTAATGATAAAATCTGTATGTAGAATGGGCCCTCTAATTCATAAGCACTGTCAGAACTCCTATCCTACTGGATCTATATGTAAGGGCAGGTAGAACCACGCCCAATATAAGGATGAAGAAACAAAGGAAACAAATGATGTGCTCAGAATTAGGCAAGAGATCTAGGACTAAGCCTCTATTGCCTACTCTTCTCTTTAATTCTTAGTGCCCATTTAGATGTTTACAGTTAACACAGAAGGAATGATTCTGTAATATATTCTTATTCTCCATATTTTTAAATATATTTGTGATAGTCAACTACCGTATATTCACAAAGAAAGAAATCTTATTAGGTGATGTTTGATCAAAACATGTTTATAAAACTCAGTTCCCCAACTTAGATGAGAAAAACATATCCAGCTGGGAATTGAGGATATAAGAGCATCAAGGCTTTTCCAAAGATCCAATTGGCTTAAAAAACCCTGGGCATCACACCTGGGCCTTTTCTGTGCTTCTTCATGACAGGAAGATGATGACTTTAACAAGGCCCAACAACAGATGTCAGAGGCTCTGACGTAAATTATCTGACTACATGTTGATCTAGGCTAAGGGCAAAATTCCTAAGGACTGAGAAGCAGCAGCTTGCTAGTCTTCGCAGTGCTCTGCCAGCAAAAGCACTTCAGTAAATTCTCTTCAGAAAGCCTTACATAAAATCCATACTACCCCTTTCTCTTCTAAAGCAGGGCTCAAGTTTAAAGGAAACTTAGGATTTTAAGCTGTCAGACAGCTAAATATTTCAAAGAAATGGACTGACTAGTAAATGCTAAAGCTAAACCACAAGATTTCAGGCAAAGAAGTGTTCATTCCTAATCCCATGAATATATTTTCAAACTGGCATTTTCAGTCACATCTGATGGATCATTTCAGGTAGCATAACTAACTCAGAAATTGTAATCCTTCACCTGAAATTCCCAGCTATTACCTACAACCAAGAGACATTGTAAAGGCCAGGTGCTGCCTTAAACATTTAAAGAGCTAAGAAAAACTGATCTACTTGCATTGATTTGTCTGAGCATTCATGGTTGCTATTATAAGAAAGCTTTTGCTATAACTGATGAAATAAGATTTGATATTATCAACCTTTAGATATTTCAGAACTTTGTTTATTTAATAATTTCTATAACCTACTCTCTAAGAAATTTCTTCCCATTAGAATATTATATAGTTTATGCATCAGAATTATAATAGAACAAAACAAATAAAATGAACAGAAGCTGGTATCTGGCAGTAGTGGCAGTGATTCTATCAGTAAAATTAACATCTTGTATAAAATATAAGAAGCCAGTTTATTTTTCATTAGATTTCACTGTCAACAATATATCCTCCAAACTCTGAAATTGTGATCTCATTATAGTGTTAACTGTTATTAATGGCTAATTAGGAAAATAACGATCCAAGGTTTTATTCACTGCTAATGAACATGTAACAAAGTTCCACCACTCTGGACTATGTGAAGGTAGAGCAATTCTGTATACATCTGCTCAGCATTTGTGAGCCGGACTATACCATTCTTTCCAGCTAGAGTATGGAGGATTCCAAAAAGATGCTTGATGCCCAGTAGGTGTCATTAACCTGTCAAACAAAATTTACAGAAGGATAAATTATGTAGAGAATATATGCCTGGAACTTGAGAGGATTGATGTGAATTATGCAACACAATGCAGAAGAGTGTTCAAAGGTAATCTCCTTCCACAGTTTTAGTTCCTCAAAGTAGCATATATCCTCTTTCAGACTGCTGAGTTTTCCTGTAGAGATCTAAATGAACTCTACACAATGTTTCCAAAGTGTGTCAATAAGCTCAAAACTTTTGTCTTTTGCAGAGAAAAATTTTAGACTTTACTTTGATGGTAGACTTTACCTACCATTGAAGTGGCAAGTACTTAAAATTATAAAAATATTATTTTTCTTTTTCAAAGTAAAATTGTCCTCAAATTATAAAAATTTCATGGGTTGAATAGCATTTGCACTGTTTTATTTCTTAAGCTTTAAAAGGTATGTCAGAGAAGACACATGAATCAAACTAAAGGATATAAGGAAAATGCTGACACATCAAAATAAGCTAACATAAATTAACTACTACAAAAAATTATAAAGTTGGATTGAGAATTATTTTTTAAAAATGGAAACTATATTGTACTTTGAAATGGACAATAGCATGTTGTACATAAAGGCTAAAAATTAAGAAAATTTTGGATACTAAGGCAGGAAAATGAATTGTGCAAAATTTCTCTGGGATCATAGAATCAAAGGTAATCTTGTTATTCCCTACAGTACAGAAAGTGTTTTAAGTAACTATTTGCTAAGCTTAAAGCTAATTATAAATAAAAGTTAAATATTAAAAATACTCTAGCCTGGGCAACATAGTGAGTCCCTGTCTCTACAAAAATTTTTTAAAAATTATCCAGGCCTGGTGGCATGTACCTATAGTTCCCAACTACTTAAGAGGATAAGGAAGGAAAATCACTTGAACCCAGTAGTTTGAGGCTGCAAGGAGCTACAATAGCACCACTATCTATACTCCAGTCTGGGCAACAGAGCAAGAACTTGTCTCTTGAAAAGAAAAGGA